TGGTGTAACACTGGAAAGTTCGGTGCTGGACCTCAGTGTCCGGGTAAAATGATGGGGGTGGAGACGCTCCTTCAGGTCATGTTGTTCACATGACTGATTACCGTCTTCCAAAGCAACTACTCTATTCTGAACTTAAAAATGGTAAGCGTAATGGAAAGTGTAATGAGAGTGGTCAACAAGAGTTTTAAAGACTCAAGAGGCAAATCTTAAAAATTGTAGTATACAGACAACTGGGAAACACTGGCCTGCAAGCGCTCCAATTGGAGAACAGCCTTTACCAAAGGTGTCATGGATGTTGAAGATGCTCAAACTCAGGACAAAGGGAAAAGTGTGATAAGAGGAAGGCATGCTTGGCAAACCCTCACCATGATCAACTCCCACCCGGAAACCTATGTCCCCACTGTGGAAGGACATGTGGATCCAGAATTGGTCTCAACAGTCACTTACGGACTCACTGTTAAGACCGTGTTCATGGAAGACAATCTTACTCAGCTAAGAGTGATCACCAAAGAAGAAGACAAAGCAGAGAGCCTGGTTTAAATCAAACAATGGTTAAATATGCCAGGTTTGAGTCTGACTGGTTTATCAATGAACATCTGTTTTTAAACCAGGATTCCTGATTTGTACACCAACACTAAGTGGAAAGTTAGACTAAGCAGAAGACTCTTCCTGGCCACAAGGGAGAAGAAAAAGGAGGTGGAGATGCACTATGGCAGACACTCAAGTCCTAACTCTTAAAAATAACACTGATGGACCTTGTCATGTTAAGTCTATGTCAGGGGTTCTCATACTGAAGTCTATGAACTTCAGTCAGGTGCTTCATAGTGTATCTGTGGATTTGTGGTTGAAGATCGGAGATGGCACATGCATCACATTAAATAACCATACTGAATTTTAACCATATTTCTATTGCAGCTTATATTATATTATAATTTGAATTCTATGGCATTAAAATTCTAAAATAGTATGATCGTGTCCGGGGGGGGGGGCTATGTGTCATGGTGTGATTGGACACAGAGGAACGGTGGGAGGAACCAGCTGGGAAACCAACAAGGGAAGAAGGTCGGAGCCAGGGAATTGGTGGTGGGACGATAATGAGTGGTCAGAGGGAGAAGACTAAGAGGAGGTGTTGGAAGCTGGAGAGGTAACAGGGCTTGGGGGGGGGGGGAGTCTGTGGCTGAGAGAAGAATAAGAGGCAGAAGTTGAAGAAGAGGAAGAAGGCCAAGAGGAAGAAATGAGTTTGGCTGGTGAAAAGGCACAGGTGTCTCCCCCTCCTGCTGCGACAATTTCCCCTCCCACCTGGTCTCCCAGAACCAGGAAAGGTATGAGCAGGGCAAAGGGGAAGTTATCTTCATGAAGGTAAGGCTCAGATTGCTTGGGAAAAACCCTGGAGAGGCAGGGACTAAGGCAGCTGTGGGGAGGCAGGGAACTTTAGTTTCAGAAACTGCTTCATTGGGGCAAGACCTGCCAGAGATGAGTTGCTTTGCTTATTAGGCCTGACATTCCTATGCTGATCCTGTTTTTGCTACTCCAACTTGCTCAGTGTGATTTTACCACTGGCTCGCTCCTGTCATTGCATTCTGGCATGTACAGCTGAAATCATGTACAGTGGACGCCCGGGTTGCGAACATGATCCGCGCAGGAAGCACGTCCGCAACCTGCAGCGTTCGCAACCCGCAGCACCGCGTGTGTGCACACGCGGGTCGCGATTTGGCGCTTCTGTGCATGCGCAAAGTGTGATTTAGCACTTCTGCACATGTGCAAGCGCCGAAACCCAGAAGTAACCAGTTCCGGTACTTCCGGGTTCGGTGAGGTGCGCAACCCAAAATCGCGCAACCCGAAGCGTCTGTAACTCGAGGTATGACTGTATAGTCAAAAGAACCCACTGGAACTGCTCCTGCACTATCAATCTTACCTTCTGAGATCTCATGAAGGCCTCCAGAGACCATGAGAGAGTCTCCCGTAACCCAGTCTGCCGCAGAAAGAGCTTTTAAGCTATCTGCCTTGTATGACTTTAATCTGTGTGATATCAGCTACCAGGCCACCTGGCACATAACGATGTGATTGAATGTGTCAAATGCATACAAGTTGCGATCCTAATATACAATAAAATACAAAATATAAGAAATGAAAGAAGCAATAAAAAGACAATTAAAAATTGCATCTAGCACTGCACAGTACAACTGCTACAATGGGCAGAATTTTTTGTTAGGTGGTCCTCCATGATCCTCAGCAATTTTCAAGTTAAAATGGAGTTAAAATGTTTGGGGACCACTAGTCTATTGGATTACTGCAAAGATTTCTGAGTTACTGGTCACACAGAACTTGATCCTCCTGGAGAAGAGTTTGAAATTTATGTCCTACTCTAAGGGCAGTAATTTTTAAAACTTGCTTATTCAATGAACCCTTTCCCCATTGATCTTCTGCCATGAAACGTCTGTCGATTCAGATGGAACATTGTACAGGCCTACTAGACCTCACCTTTGCTCCCAAGCGACCTGAAAGTTCACCCAAGGATACATGCAACCCTGTCCTACACCTGCACATTGCAGAGGAAGACTAGTACTGATGGCCAAGCAGTCTTCCTAAGTTTATTCACCTCTGATCTCCTTACTGAAGAACCCTAATAAAGACCAGGGCTACCAAAAGCAGTTTGAAAGCCACTTCCTCAGAACTACTGCAAGCTTTTCCCTTTCACACTAAGAAGCAATTCAAATTTCTTTTTCAGTCCCCTATTGGAACCAATTATTTTACGTTTGACTAGGATCTGTGGAATCCAACCTAGGGCTAAGTGAACATTCCATCAGTGCAAGGATTCCAGCCTTCACTACAGAATGTTTCCCCCCTCTATTCCCCACACTTCCCCTTAGAAAGTCTGTTCTTCTAGGGATTTCCCCAACCCTCTGGAGAAGATTCAGGGAAGACACAGGGAATGCATAGGAGGGAGAGGAAAGTCCCATTGTGCAAGCAGAAATCCTTATCATACACTGTATTTCCTTGAACCTGTGGGCACACTAAAAATATTCTGCTGAGACCCATCACTGATTTTTCTTAGCTGAGTGGAGCTCAAACAAGCTATTGTCCTGCAAAGGAAATCCAAGTTTAGAAACACAAGGATTGCTATTATTCTGACCAATAGAAGATTTTCTACAAAGTAGCAGAATTTATCTTACAGAGCAACAACAAGCAGCATCCTGCTTGGAATTCATCCTCTACTGTACCACCACCAGTGCAGTAATGACTGTGGCCTCAAAAGTCTCAGGAGGCAGAACTTTACACCACTAATAATAGTAATAATAATAATAATAATTTTTAATATTTCTACCTGCCTATCTGGGTTCCCTAAACAGGGCTGCCTTCAGATCCAGCACCACAGAAAATTTACAACACAGAACTACAAACATAACACAACAGCACCTTCTAAAATAAACCCCTTTTATCCAGACCACAGTGCAACTATCTTAATTCAAATCATGGTAGAGCTAAAAACAAAACTATAAGACAGAAAATAATTTTATTTTTGTTTCACATGTCAGCATAGCTTCCCCATTCAGAGAGTGGAAGATGCCAAGAGATCTGCTCAGAGACACACTCTCTCCATTAGCTTAGTAGGAAACCCCATTTTTCTAGGAGCTTTGCTGGTTAGTTGAAAAAAAGCCAGTTTTATAAAAACTTGCAGAGTTTTATAAAGACTGACATGAAGCTAACTTGCCCCAACCAACCATAGTAACTTAAGGCTAACCACGGTTTGGGCATTAAAACAAAGGTGTGGGACCCTGCGGCTTTCCAGATGTTGTGTGACTACAGTTCCCATTGTCCATTGCCACTGGCCATCCTGGTTGGGGATGGCAGGAGTTGGGTTATGTGTTCCTCATCCCTGCATTAGCATTTCATTTCAGCTAGTCCAGAATGGAAGCAACAGCTTTCTAGTTCCTCTTCATGGCACTGGAGTAGGGAGTGCATGAGCCCAAGGTTTGATGTTGCTCACTCCTGTAACAATAGACCATAGACCATGGCTATCATTCGAGGGATGCGGGTGGCGCTGTGGGTTAAACCACAGAGCCTAGGACTTGCTGATCAGACGGTCAGAGGTTCAAATCCCCGCAACGGGGAGAGCTCCAGTTGTTCGGTCCCTGCTCCTGCCAACTTAGCAGTTCGAAAGCACGTCAAAGTGCAAGTAGATAAATAGGTTCCACTCTGGTGGGAAGGTAAACAGTGTTTCCGTGTGCTGCTGTGGTTCACCAGAAGCAGCTTAGTCATGCTGGCCACATGACCCGGAATCTGTACACCAGCTCCCTTGGCCAATAAAGCGGGGTGAGCGCCGCAACCCCAGAGTCGGTCATGACTGGACCTAAAGGTAAAAGTCCCTTTACCTTTTAATTGTAACATTCAAACAAGGCCAATATATTCTATTTACGCTTGCTACTTAAAAAAAACCTAGGTGAAAATGCCACTAATAATTCAGAATATCACCAATAACAAAACTGCAATTGAAAAAGTACTATGTAAGGCTCCGAGTAAGGAACACAATATAAATAATAAATTCCTTCCTCTTTGATTTTGCTTTAAAATTCATTGGCTTATTCCCGGAGAAGACGTGTTCCCTACAGTTGAGCACAGAAACAAAAGATACGAAACCTAAGAAATTGGAAGCAACAAAACATAATATATCAGCAGTGTAAAACCTGGAAGACATTGAATCACAAGGAGCATACAATTCTTCTTATGTTTCTCTTTTGTACTTCTTAGCATAAATCAGTTTTACTACTATAATGGGGTCTTTAGCCTGAAGTCAGGAAGCAACAATAAAGTGCAGAATAAGCTATAAATTAAGACCCATTTCATCTAAGTTTATTCTCTATAGGAAACGGCATGTAGAGCAAAATATATATAGAGGAATACAGGAATGGTGACTACAGGCCTCGGGCCTACAGTCTAACTATATTGAACTTTTTCTCTCTTTTTTTAGCTTTCAGAAGAGGAATTCTCACACAACCTACCTTAACATGTTTCAGAAGTTTATAAAGATCTTCAACCTCATCACCTTCACATCTGGTATATACTTTGCCAGTTTCCACACTGGTGCCCTTAATAGTGCGGCGATAAAGTGGCAAGCCCATGGCTTCTGCATATAACTCTATTGCATGGTGCCCCACCGTTTGATACATGTAGCTGTCCAGCTCATCAGTCCCTTCTGGAAGACAGACAAAAGTAAAGCTGTATTAGCTAATATTTACAATATGTACTAATAAGGAAGAAGAGCCTGCCCCCAGTTTTGTTTCAAATAGAACCCATCTGCACTATACATTTAAAGCAGTATCATACTATTTCTATCAGTCAAGTCTTGCCCCAAAGAATCCTGGGAACTGTAGTTTGTAAAGGGTGCTGAGAGCTGTTAGGAGACCCCTGTTTCCCTCACAGAACTAAAATTCTCATCACAATAAAAAAACTACAGTTCCCAGAATTCTTTGGAGGGGGGGAGCCATGACTGTTTAAAACATTATAATAATGCTTTAAATGTTTCGTACAGATGAAGTTATGGATGAATCAACCTGACCACTTTTGTACACGGATGGGAATTACTTTATTCTCCAGCTTTGTGCAACTTTCCAACAAGTGTTTTGCCCCCCAAGTCACCATGGGAACAGCAGTTTCATGTTTTGTGGGTTGCTACTTACGTAGTTCCACCACTCTCCCAACAGGAAATAAAAGTGATAATGTCACAGGGGCAGAAACAACCATGTAATAACAACACAAAACAAAACTGGCTTTGTAAACAATCATCTGTATCTCTCACATAGCAGCTTTGAGATGTTATAAATCACTTTTGATGTTTTATTACCGTCAAATGGTAGATAAATGTTGCGACATAAATAGTAAAGTACAATAAAGTACATCAAATCTATATGCATACATAGAGCAATCAGCTTCTACTTTGTGTTGTTAGGTCTAATCCATGCAATTCTTTAAAAAGCCAAAGCCCTAAAAAGCTGCAAATGACAACTCCATAAAATAACCCATTATCCAGTAATAGAATAAAATAAGACTACAGCAAACCTGTCTTAAAAGAAGTCAAGAGATACTCCCAGCCTCCAACTCATGGAAGACAACCCAGAATGGCAACAAGGAACAGAGCTAGGCCCCTCATCCCCACTCCCTTTTTTGTGCATTATAACTTTGAAGAATGCTTGAAGAAGGCTTTAGAATTAGAGAATTGCGAGCCCAGAAATTCATTTTGTGTATCAGAACTGAACAGAGCTGATAGTCCTTCCACACAAAAAATGCAACTCCTGAGCATGCCAAGCTCAGAATAATTTAGGTCAGCAGCAAAATCATTATTTGCTGCTATTATTAAACATCTGGGAGTCAGAAATCATTGTGGATCTAGCGCAAATCACTCAGAGATCTACCGGTAGAGATTCAACACTAATCCTCCAGCACGGTGAGTAGGGTGGCAGAGTTTGAGGGAATGTGAAATTCTCACCTTTGTTTTCAGCAGGTCTAAGATTGGCTAAGGCAACAATCTGGTGTCCAGCAGCAACACAATGCATCATATTGTAACAGCTGTCTTTCCCACCACTGGAATAAAAAGAATCAGTTGTATAAAAACAGCTCTGTAATGATTTCAACAGTCATTTCAAAATGATAAAATATACAGATGAGAAAATGTCTACCGGGGGATTTTTTTTTAAAAAAAGACCACTTTTCAGAAATCCTTAAAAAAGTTAAAAGTAGTACGTATATAATTTGGATTTTAAGTATTTGCACTCCAATCTGTCACTTGCTGAATACACACTTGATATCCAGGTAGTGTTCTACACATGTAGGGGAGGCCTCATTTCTTTAACTTCACACAAGGCTCCCTGTGCCCAATGATTTCCACACAGAATAAATGGAGAGATCAAAGTTCCAATTGCACAGAAGAGCATCACAGAACTTTGGATCCCAACCAGTGTTTTCAACATAGGGACTCTTGGGCTTATAATGATAATTATCTGGGCTAAACCTACATGGATCCTTTAAAAAATATATACTCTGCAGCCAGGTCACAAGCTTGCCTCTGTGCACAAATATGCATTTTACATTTCTCTGACTCAATGCCCAATTGGGTCTGTAATTGCTAGTGTGAAAAATGTGCATAAAAAAGAGTAAGATTGGTATGAAGAATAAAATGTCTCAGATTTTGCAGACTTGAGCTTTATACAAAAATGAGCCAGCGTTGTGCCATTCTGCTTGAGTGAAGTTATTAAAAACAAACCTTGAGCATAAGATAATTTACTGCAAGCAAAGCAACAAGCTTTAAAAGCACTTAAACCCCCGTTTTCAGTGACTTCACATAGGGTGAATCTCAAATGCAAAACAACGTTGTGTGGGTGCAAGACTGCCATCAGAGACAATTTAGCTGCTAAGGACATTAGATGGAATGAAAGCTACTAAATACCAAAGTACTTGTGATGCACAAATGCTTGATTCTTTACAGGTAATTTCCCTGGCTTTAAGAAAAGATGCTCCATTTGCTATTACTTCTCACAGCATTAATATGGCTGTGCTCTTTAAAGAAAAGTAAGCACATCTAAAGTGCAAACCCCCCAAAAAGAAAACTATACAAATATACTTAAAGCACAGTCCTGTACATGTCTGTTCAGAAGTATGTCCCATTGAGTTGAATGGATTTACACCTAAGCAAGGAAGTATAGGATTGGTCCCACTGAATTCACGAGCAGGTTATTAACACAAACAGCAGTTCACAGGATTGTAGATTTACTGTCTAAGTCAGGGGTTGTCAACCTGGTCCCTAACGCCCACTAGTGGGCATTTCGGGATTCTAGGTGGGCCGGTAGGGGGTTCTATGGCACAAACTTCCATCGAGCACTGGTGGGAGGTAAGGAAATTTTACCATCAAGAAAGATGCACTAGTGGGCGGTAGGTATAAAAAGGTTGACTACCCCTGATATAAGTGCATATACTGCAGAAATAATGTATATATTTTTTTAAAAGTCACAGATTTTGTTCTACCATCTCCCTGGGTACCTGAGCTGGGCTACATGTTGCTGCTAAGATGGCTTCCTTCAGTCAACAACATTAACCACTACTACCCAGTCCCTGGTCAGAGCATTGCCAGCATGCTACTCTGGTATATCTGCTTGTGCCACCCACAGCCAGAGATGGCGTTGGGTTGGAAGCAGCAGGGTTCATTTTTGACATCCCGATACAGTGGTACCTCGGGTTAAGAACTTAATTCGTTCCGGAGGTCGGTTCAATACCTGAAACTGTTCTTAACCAGAAGCACCACTTTAGCCAATGGGGCCTCCCACTGCTGCATGATTTCTGTTCTCGTCCTGAAGCAAAGTTCTTAACCCGAGGTACTGCTTCTGGGTTAGCGGAGTCTGTAACCTGAAGCGTATGTAACCCGAGGTACCACTGTATTTTCCTGCTGGAAACCTTCTCAATTACACACAAGCAACCCACTTTATCAATAAATACAGAACACAAACCCACTTTCCCACAAAAGCCCTAAATCACCACTATTTACTGAAGGTGTCAATCTGTCCTTATATCCCATTTCAAGGGTTTGTTCATTTGTATGAAACATGGCATCAATGTACCCCCAGAGAAATTCCGCAAGAGGGAGGAGTCAAGTTGCAGAAGAAAATTACTACCTAATATGAAACGCAGGTGGTTTGTACATGAAACCCCTTCAAGCAAATCAAACTATGTAACAAGGCCCTCCTTGGGACTCCTGGCCTTCAAATGCCTGAGTAAGCTGACAATGGGCAACTGCTTCCCTTGGCCTTTTAATATGTTTATACATGCAAAACTTCCAACATTTTAGCTTACTTCTCAAACTGAAGGAAGCAGACGTATATGCATCCTATGAGACTGCAGGACAGCAGCTAGAGCAGGAATTTTGCAGCCAAAGTGCAAAATTCTGCAAAGTGTTGATAGCCACCTTCACTAACAGATGAATGAAATGGCGAGCACCCGCAGGCCCATTTACCTCAAGCTGGTGATTAAGGTGTACAGACAGTATGGTGGACATGAGTCAGGGAGAAAATGTACATGTGTGTGTGTGTGTGTTTGTGGTAAGTGGTCCCCAGGTCTGTGGTAACTCGGCAGGAGGGCAAAGCACTACTAACTTGTGAGCTGAGAAAGCCCATTCCCTGAGGTTTACAAGGTTCAGGAAGGCACAAAACACCCAATACATTTAGAAATAGCTCAGTTTCTTCAAGTTTGAGAACAAATCCCTGCAAGCGTTTCCAAGGCCAGCTCCATCTCTTTCCCTTTGTAAATGTTGCCACGCTGTGTTCACACTATACCCTTAAAACACATTCAAAAGACACTATTTCCTTCAAAGTATTCTGGACACTGTAACTTTTTAAGGGTTGTTAGGAATAGTAACTCTTGTGAGTAGTAAACTACAGTGCCCAGGATTTTTTGAGGGAAAGAATGTGTTTCAAATGTGCTTTAAAGATATGGTGTAGGACATAGCATAAACTTAGCCCACGACTTCCCAACCCTACCCACAGGTAGCAAGGGGTGAGGTGGACATCTGGGTGGCTACTGTGAGCTGGACTAGAGGGGCCAAATGACCTGATCCTGCATGCTCTTCTTATTGTTCTTAGGACATTGTGCAAGATCAAACAGATGGCTATAAGAAAATCTCAGCACCTTCTATATTAAACCACACAGGCATAGAAAAAGCTGTCCTTGCCCCCACTATGCACAGGGCTGAAAGGGGAAGCAAAAAAACAAAACCCCAAGGCGCATATGCTGCAGAGATGACCCGCAAATGCTGCACGGTTTTAAATCAGCCAGTCGACTCCGGAGAGCAAAGCAAAGCAGGAAGCGTGAGGTCAGACGGACTGAGAGGGGGTAGAAAGGAAATTGCTGATTACAAACAGAAAGGTGGTGGCAGGAGGGAAAACTGATCCGAGGAGGCTGATCTTTGCTTGCCCCCTTACTTCACTCCGCCAGCCACCCCCGCGCTATATGGGGCTCCAGCACTTCTCTCTTATGCAGAAACCTTGCAGTGCAAATATTAGTCCATTGTGGGGGCAGCCCTTACACACACACAGTTCTTTTTTACCTGATTAAAGCCACTACTTTCATGTTGCACAACACCCTGGGCTGGATTTAAGTGCATGCGAAGAGCGCCCGGGGTTAAGAGTGCAAGCCACCAACTAGGCGCAAACACACCAACACACACACTGCCTCTTCCAACCCACGTTGCTCTCGGGCTGCTGCTGCTGCTGCTGCTGTCTGATGCTTCCTTCCTTCCCCGGGAAGTCCCTCCCGCCTGAGTCTGTCCCCGAGCTGCCTGAACAAAACAATCGCCTTTCGCAGCCGTGATGAGACATTCCCTCCGTCCCTTTGGCAGCATGAAGTCGGTCCGCAGGCGACAAACTGCAAGAGCCCACCCTGCCGTCATATGAGCGGACGGGTAGTGGGGAGGCTAAATTTCAGGCACAGCGCCAGACAGCTATGAGCTGGCACTGAGGCGGTTTGTAGTGAGGGCAAGGCTGAGCGCACGTGTGCGATTGCTGCCTAGGTGCTGCGTGATTTAGAAGCGCTTTTGCCAGTTCTCGCACGGCAGTCCTTAGACTGTGGCACGCTCCGCTCTGGGATTTGCATGCCAGGTTTCAGACCCAGAGCGTGGGAAGGAATAAAAAGAGTGCCTCTGAGCATGTGCCGGGTGCATTTCTGTCGTGGAGCAGCCAGAGCCAGCCAGTGTGTAGATTATGAAATGAAGGGAACTTCTACGTTACAGCCAGGCTTGAACGCCAAAATCCCCCCTTTTCTTTTAGTAAATCATTAGGTGAGCAAGTGTTGGAGGTTTACAGCCCTAAACCTAAACGTGCTGTTAGAATAGTTGGGAGCAAGCCCCATGGGCGTAGCCAGGAATTTTTTTGGGGTGGGCAGGCAAAGTTGTTGGTTGTTTTTGTTTTTTTTTTTTTAAGGAAATGACCCCATAAAGAGGACATTACAGGGTAATTTCAATGCTTTTCAATAACATTTGTGGATGGGGGGGGGACAGCACACACACACACCCTGTCCTACTCGATTCCAAGCAGTAGCAAGAGTCCAGGGGAATTCCAAGCGCTTACCCAGGGTCTGTGTTCCTTTGGAGAAAGTAGGCACAATGGAGGTTAGTACTTTAATGGTCTATGCTTTATTTTACACACATATACAGTGGTACCTCGGGTTAAGTACTTAATTCGTTCCGGAGGTCCGTACTTAACCTGAAACTGTTCTTAACCTGAAGCACCACTTTAGCTAATGGGGCCTCCCGCTGCTGCATGATTTCTGTTCTCATCCTGAAGCAAAGTTCTTAACCCAAGGTACTATTTCTGGGTTAGCGGAGTCTGTAACCTGAAGCGTATGTAACCCGAGGTACCACTGTACAGCCTTTAGGCTTCAGTGGAGGGGCACACAGCATCACCCCAAAACACACCAGCTTGTCCTTAAAGCAGCATTACCAGCATCCTTTTTGCTCTACTATAAATAAAAATTATTATTATTATTATTACTGCCCATCTTGGTGTTCCAGGCACATAAAATCTTCCTGGTACCTCTCATGGTACCTGGTATTCATTTGCATTCTAATGGTCAGTTCATTTGAAATACTAATGGTTAATCCCCACCCTCTGGCATCACCTAGCAAAGGAGTTCATCTGACTTCATCAACACTTTGACTAGGATTAAAGACTTAGGACATACTTAGGACATTTACCTAGGTTAACTCTTCACATGCTCATTGCTGATGCTGAGAAGTAGGCCTACACATTTCAATGCACATGGATCTTGATTATGTTTTCAAAAGTCTGATACACAGCCTTTCAGTGTACACAGAGAGCCAGTGTGGTGTAGTGGTTAAGAGCGGTAGTCTCGTAATCTGGGGAACCGGGTTCGCGTCTCCGCTCCTCCACATGCAGCTGCTGGGTGACCTTGGGCCAGTCACACTTCTCTGAAGTCTCTCAGCCCCACTCACCTCACAGAGTGTTTGTTGTGGGGGAGGAAGGGAAAGGAGAATGTTAGCCACTTTGAGACTCCTGAAGGGGAGTGAAAGGCGGGATATCAAATCCAAACTCTTCTTCTTCTTTCAACATAAACACTAATTAAACACCTCACACTTATTACGTAACCCCCTTTAAATATAAATAAATAAATGCTATATTACTCATTGCACAGTTTTAATGGCTCTAGCTCTAGTTAGGCTCCCTGATACTTTATGTAATAGGAAATTGCCAGGTAGGGGAGAAAACAAGTACAGTGGTACCTCAGTTTTCAAACGTAATCTGTTCCGGAAGACCGTTCGAGTTCCGAAACGTTCAAAAACTGAAACTCAATAGCCGACAGCTAGGCCTCAGGATCTTGCACTCAGCGGAAGCCGCGTGGCATGTTCGACTTCTGAGGTGTGTTCAAAAACAGAAGCGTGTACTTCCAGGTTTACAGTGTTCAAGTTCCGAAACATTCGTCAACGGAAACATTCGAAAACCGAGGTACCACTGTATCTAATGTGTACAGAAGTATAAAAGTTTTGGCACTTCTGGTTGTCAGAGGAAGAGAGCTAGATTTGAAGCCGTACTTAGAATCATGGAGTTGGATAGGATCACTAAGGGTCATTTCCAACCCCCTGCTGTTCAGACTAGTCCATAGATAACTGTGTGCTTTGAGTGTAATTGTAGGTGTAGGACATATACGTCCTACACCTTGTAGGACATATACGTCCTGTACACCTTGTAGGACATATACGTCCTGCTAAAGTTTTTGTAGCCAAGTGACAGGAGGTGAATAGCCTGGAATTAGCTTGCCTAGGAGAGATCTCCCCAAATGCCTCTTCTCCAAAGGAGCTGCAGAGAAAGATGGCCTGTATGCATTTTGGTGAATTTGTGACATCACACTTAATTCCCTCCTTCTATGTCCTTCACCACTATAAGTATCCAAAATACAGCTGCTATGTCTTCCATGTGATGCTAATATGGTCTGTATTGCCTGCAAGACGCTCCATTTTTATGGGGAAGTAAATCCAGTAAAATGATTTTTAATGAATGGATTTACATCAGAATAAATCTGGCTGCAAGCCTTTGGATCATTTTAAAGTACAGTCATACCTCTAGTTGCGTTAGGTTCATGTTGTGGATTTTCGGGTTGCGAACGTGGCAAACCCGGAAGTGTATACTTCCGGGTTTCGCCGCACGTGCAGAAGCATTCTGCACACTTCGCGCATGTGCAGAAGTGCTCTATTGCGGCACATGCACACACAGAAGCAGCACTCTACTTATGGACTTTCGGGGTACGAATGGCACCCTGGAACGGATCGCGTTCCGTAAGTAGAGAAACCACTGTATTTGGAGAACTGTGCAACCTGAACAACCCAACATTTGAAGGCCAATTCTGAGCATGATAAACTACTACGGACCAATGTGTTGTGCAGACAGGGAGAAGAAAACCGAAACACAAACTTTGATGCCCGGGGGACGGGGGCACTGGATAAGAAATGCAGGGTGACAGAAATGTGCAGATTAGAGGACTGGCACTGTGGAAGAATGCCTTCTTAAGAGCTATTTGGTTGCCTGAGTGTGGAACCTGCAGTCATTCAGATGGAAGCTTTTAATGTTCGATGCATTACTGTATTTTAATATTTTATTGGAAGCTGCCCAGAGTGGCTGGGGAGGCCCGGCCAGATGGGTGGGGTATAAGTAATAATTATTATTATTATTATTATTATTATTATTATTATTATTATTATTATTATTATGCCTGGCACCAAAGGGCTTTCCCCACACACATTTTATACTTACCATTCTTACATTCTGCTGGGCATTTAGATTGGGTTGGGCTTGTCCTGTTTATGCTATATGTATTTTTTCAGGGGGGGTTGATATTGCTTTTTGAATTGGATTGAAACATTGCTGGTTTCCTGTTCTTAATTCATATATAAATATAGATAATACTGTTTGTATTTTATACTGCAGGTCACATCAAGACTGGGTTTTTTTTTAGTATAAAGCATAGCAGATAAGAAATGGAAATAACAGTGGTGGTAGTTATTATAAAAATACAAATATTCATATAATAATCAGGATTATTCCCATAATTCTTAGGATCTTCCAAATAAAGTGGATGATCCAAATCAGATTGCATACTATGAAAGCTCGTGATTGTCCAGAGGGAAGGATTGTAACTTTTTGCCATTATAGCTGTGAAAAGAAGCAATGCAGGCATGCTCTTAATTAAAGCACTAAGTCCAGAGGATATGTAGAAGTTTCAGACATAAAATGCTTAGTAAAGCCTGCTGATGGGAAATAATCACCCACTCAGAAACACCGTAAAAATGTGACACTTGTTTTAAAACCACTTAAAAATGCAAACTGAGTTGTTATTTGAGCTGCAATCATCCACACAATTGTTTGGAAAAATGTATTAATGTCTCTGACTTGATTTAATGGAGAAGCACTACACGGGTATTTTTATTTATGATAGTCTACAAACAAGGACAAATATTTTAAACCTGATGGGCTAACATGATTAGAACAGTGTGGGACAAGCCTAAAAAGAATATTGTAAACAAGTTATTTGTGATCCTCTTTGGAAGTCCATAAAAGTGGTTATTTTATAAAGGCTTTGTAATGCAGGTTTTGACAGATCAGTATTTTTGCAACATATTCTTCCTTAGCAACATTAGTTTCAGCAAAACTAAAAACAAAAAAGTGTTGTTTTCCTTCCTTGGAGGCTCTGCTATTAATATTATTTCCTAAAATAGTACCTAATACAGAAGTTATTTTCTGTCTTCTAGTTTGGTTGCATTCTCTTATACATCCTTTCACATTTATTTTTAGCTGTAATCTGCCCGTCATTTTTCAGTATCTTAATAGAACAGAAGAAACTGAAGGCATACAACTTAGACTTGATTTACTCTTTGCCCTGACAGGTATGACCTGAAAGTGACAGAATGGAGTGGTTAGAAGAAATAACCTTGGAAACATTTTGTCAAGCAATGCCAGAGCTTGCTGGATAGGCAAAGCCTTTCTGACAATATTTTAATGCAACAGATGTACAGTTGTTATTGGTCTCCCTTTGCTCAAGGGTAACCCTCCATTCGTGGGCTGGATGTTTGCAGTTAAGAATCTGCATAGAGAACGAGCCCATGGCTCACTGGTAGAGTACATGGTTTGCATGAAGATGGTCCAAGCTCCAGTCCCTGGTATTTCCTGTTGAAAGATCTTGAGTAGAAGACCTGAAAAAGAGCTGCCTCTTGAGATCTTGGTTTGCTGTTGCCAATCAAGGTGGA